TCTGTTTATCAATTTCACGCTGCTCTGCGCAGGGGGGGGGGGGACGTCGCGGCGCGCAATGAACTGGAAGTTGATTTGTCAACACTATCGTTATCTTCAGGGCAGATGTTTTTATTTTATTCGGCTTATAATTCCTTACTAAATGTAGTATTTAATTTCAATGTACTCTATCTTTGATATGATTTAAATCAAATTCCTCGTCATTATAAATATCACGAATACAAATCAAATAGTTTTCTGGTTGCAATTTTCTAATTTACGCATTCGCGCGTTAAAAGAAATGTTTAATAAAGTAAACAAATAAATATTAGGCTTCTTTTTTGGTAAATTTTGATACCCTTTAGATCATAATTTCTCATTATTTTATAAATTACGGTTTCATATTTTTAATTTTATAATTTCTGCATGCCATCTTACCAGATTTAAACTGATGATCTATAATCCGGAATCGCCGAAGTCCCGACAAGTCTGGATTAAAGACTTTTGACTGTAATTTTCGGAAAATGGTTACTAATATATTAAAAAGATTTTTCCACGTATTCCCATAAAATCTCCTTTTTCAATGTCACCCAATGAAAATTTTTAATATCCTCAAACTGAACTGTCCGTTCTTCAAGGTATTCCAAGCAGTTGTTATAAAAATTTCTGACTTCTTTCAGAAAATCAGGTCGTTTAATGGCACCTTGTTCTTTCAACCTAGTGATGTAATTCCGAATAACTAAAGGAACGTAATCGTTATCAATTCTTTTTCGAAATTTTGTTTTTAAATTATTGATTTCGTTTGACGCTTCCATAATTAAAATTTTGTCCCCTTCAATAATTTTCACAGCATTGAAATAATATAGCTTGGTTATGGGTGAACTGAAGCTAAATTTGTGATTTGTCATTTTCAAAAAACAGCTGCAATATTCTTTGGCATTCATCTTGTGATAAAAAGTATGATTTTAATGGTTCATTATTTTAAAAATATTTTTCTACAGCTGGTAAAAGAGCTAGCCATTGTGTTTTGCTGTAACCAATAATTCTTTTACATTTGATTTCTACGTTTTCACAAAAATCCTTCAAACTTTCAAAACACGCACATTATATATAAAAATACGAATAAATTTTTGCAATAATATTTTCAGCATCCACTGGAAGTAAGTCAGATGCTGTTTGAATAGTATTGTGTAGAATGTGTGCTGCATAGCCAACTCCAATAATTTTTTGGTTTAAATGTTCGTTATGTTTCTTAAAAATGTTATTGATGGCTCTTTTAGCTTTTCCACCAAAATTTGCATTTGTGTTATCCTCAAAATAGGCAATAATTTTATTGTTCAAATTATTCTTTTTTAAAATCGTACTTATTGAATCAAAAATTATTTGTGAAGTTTCATCCGGCAATGAAACAAAATCTAATATTCTAATTTTAATTCTTGTTTCTGGATCAAGAAGTCTAACAATTATGGGAAATAATTTTAAGCATCATACTATATGGATATAAATGTGGATTTATCTAATTCTTTCTGCAATTGTGAAAACGAATATGGTGAAAAAACATTACAAATAATTGCTTCGATTTTTGTCCTTGCACAAGCAAATTTTTTTTTGTAGAATGTTTTGATCATTTGCGACATACAGTCAATTTATCTGAAACTTTGATTGTGGTTTATGGTATGGAAAGCAAATAGCCCTTCAGCTAATGCAAGCTGTTCCTCCGTTAACGATACATATTCCTTGGCGAGATATAACGACAATGATCAAACACCACCGAGTAAATCTAACTCGTTACATTGCGTGATTTAGTTTACTCTGCATGCATTTTATGTGTTATTTTATTGATATATTTTTATTTCTTTATATTCACCGTAATAAATAATTAATAAATAAAAAGTGATATATTTTTACAGTACATTTAAAATAAGAAATGCAGATATTTTCTAAAAAGTGGGACATTTTTAAAAATCGGCGGGACGCGAGATGGTTTTCGAAAAACCGGGACTGTCCCGCCAAAATCGGGACATATGGTCACTTTATACTTAGCTGATTGCTTAAATGTATGTAATCAAAAAATGCACAGACACTTTAGATTGCATTAACTTTTACCAACAAAATAGATTCAAAAACCAAATTCAGCTTTGGAAAGATGTGACAAAAAATACTTCCTTTGAAATGTTTAGTTTGTGTTTTGTAGCTTGAATCTTGAAAAAGAACTTCTAGAACTCTAAGATCAACACCAGTGTAAGTTTGAGAGAACGCTTAATCACTGTTTTATATTAAAAAAGACTAAGAAATTTGATTGGGTTCAAAATCCAATTGTATCTTCAATAGATTACAACATTCAATTTATCAATGAAAGAAAAGTAGACTTAAAATTATATTACACTTAAAAATATCACACCTTTGACTAACTTTTCATGAAGCTGAATTTAATGATGTTCCAGTATCTCAACTATGAATAACTGCAGAAAAGAAGTTTTGATCCATTGTTGAAAATGTATATATGTATGCTTTATACCATTAACTACTATATACATGTGTGAATGATATTTCTCTTCTATGCTTGCCATCAAGAATTTAAAGAGTGAAAAATTTTGATCATGTATTACATGTAACCCAAGATGTAACAAAATGTGTGTTTGTAGAAACAAGCCCAAGTGTTTCACCGAAGTAAAAAAATAATGTATGTCCTAACTATGTCAAAGGAATATTGTAACTATGTATATTAACATTTGAAATATTTATTTTGACATTAAAATTATATAGTCATTAATTGTTTTGTGTGTAATTAATTTTACTTTTGTATTTTCATATAATTTTATTAAAAAAATTTCTAAAAATTTAATCATAGTTCATTTCAGTCCAGTATAGCAATTTAGTTCATAGATACAATATAAAAGCTGTGTCAAATATCAATAATTGATGATATGTGGATTAATTGTTTTCATTCTGTTTATTTCATGCTTAGGACTGCATAAGAAGGCTTATCTGAAAATAATGTCTATATGGAATGGCTATGTATTACAATACAAAAATATTTGAAAGAAAGATCATGTTAAGTGCAATTTTAATATGAAATTAAAGAAATTAAGCATGTTAATAGAAAAAGTTTCTTTATAGTGTATCCTGTAATAAATGTATTTTCTCCTTACTTTCTGCATACCTTTGTGGTGTAACAATAGCACACTCGGCATGTATTCAAGAGGTCCAGGTTCGAGTCCCAGGGTGGGCATTCCTAATTTTTCATGTACTCCTGCTTCAAAATACCTAATGTCTTTGCAGTGGCGCCCAAACTAAAAAGTGGTAAATGATGATTCTTCACTGCCAGGGTTTGGTGATTGGGTCCTTTAATCCCCAGTCGCCTTTTAAAAGGGGAAGTATATAAGATATTTTTGCCCTCCTTTCTGCAATCCTTTGTGGTATAACAGTTAGCACAATTGACGCATATTCGAGAGGTCTAGGTTTGAGTCCCAGCGAGGACATTGCACATTTTTCATGTCTGTTGCTTCAAAATAACCTAATGACTCTAGTAGCTTGGAAAGCACTGTCATAAGGGAACAAAGTATTCCTTTATACTGCTATACACTAAAGCAGAGGCCTCAAATTCAAATTGCCCGTGAGCTGCATGCACGGTCTGAAAATAGATACAGGCCAAAATTTTTATTTAACAAAATAACAAACATTTTAAATAAATTTTAATTTTTGCTTACTAAGTATTTTTCAAATTATATATAAACAATAATCATAATATTGTAAAGAAAAAAAATTCAAGCTTTTAATTATTTTCTATTTGAAGTCTAAATTTTGGTATGAGCAAGGCATTTTTGTTGGTTGCACTTTGTAGTTCAAATATTGAAAGATGACATAAAATTTTCAGACTGACATTTTCTTGAAATGGTTGTAACATAGTTAATTAATCATTAAATAGCTCATTTTAATTTTAAATGAAAGAAGTAATGAAAACTAACTTTTCATTGAATATTTTTTACTTAAGAATAAATAATGACATTTTAATATGTTCCTCTTATTTATTAATTTTTTCTTCTGCACATGAATAAAAGTACATGTTTGTATGTAAATAGTTATAAACTTGCATTTCTTACTACAGCTTGACACATGATGGTTGTTTTCTTACTAAATTTCAACTGTGGGGGAAAAGTCTGCCCATATATAAATGAAGTTCCAAACAAAGAGTTTATTCTTAAGAAAAAATAGTAAATGAGCTTATTTATTTTTTGAAAAGTTAATAAAATCTGTATTTTGAAAATTTTTTATAAGATTTATATCACATTTATATCATCATTATTAAACAGTTGAAATTGGTGACTCCACTTATAGATATTCTGATGTGTTGTTGACGTTAACGAATGAAATGTTTATTGATGGTAATGAAAATTATGTAAACTCAGCTTCCAAATAATTAAAATTTTGATTCTTTCTAACTCTGAATTTGTACCAAATTCATAATTGAAATGTCTGCAGGCTGCCCAAAATTTCTTTGTGGGCCACCAGTTTGAGACTACTGCACTAAAGTATGTTTTTAATTATAAGGCATATATATATTTTTAGTAGAAGTTATGAAATCTTAAAATTGTTACAATAACAATTTAACCCTTTTTATTTATTGAGAAAATTTTTATCATTCTTTTTATGTGATGTTTTTTTGTTAATAATGTTGTAGTATAGGAATTCTTTTATTCCTTTATTTAAAAATTAATATATGTATTAATTTTTACTACTTGTTTGTATATTGTACTCTTAAAGATAGAATGAAGTTTTTGTATATATATTTTTTTTTTATTTCCCTAACAAGGAATTATTTCCAATTGGAGGAGAAAATATAAAAATTTTCTATTATTAAACAGTTTTATTATTTTTTAATGAATGTATGTAAAAATGCTGCTTTTAAATAATATAATACGTTTTTAATACATGTGAGAAAAGAAAATGGTATTAAAATTATTATTAAAAAAATGCAAAAGATGTATCGTTTTCCTCAAATATAATGCATTTATTTTTAGGATGGATTCATATGTCGTCTTCAGATGTGCTAAAGAAATTTCCTTGTGGATTATGCTCATATGCGACTGATTGTCGATCTCATTGGAAAAGTCACAAACAGACTCATGCTCAACAACGTTCTTTTGTATGTTCTACTTGCCAGAGGGGATTTAATCATAAATCTAATTTGAAAGCACATATGAGAGTTCACACTGGGGAGAAACCTTTCACCTGCAATTTGTGCTACAGGACTTTTACCTTTCAGTGTAACTTGAAAAGCCATATGTTTACACAACATCGAAACTTTATGTAAATAATACATTTGAAGTTTTAATAGTGATCTTAAAAATAGGTGTTTATACAAAGTAGCATAAAATAAAATATACCTTATTGTTTAACATTAGTTTATTGATGGTAGATTATAGATGTGGTATTCTTTGAATTTGACATTATTAAGATAAGAGGTTTCTTTTGGATTTAATGTTCATTTTTAACAAGCATTTATGTTTTCTTATAATATTTATTCACAGTATACAATTCACATTGCAAGAGAAATTTGATAATCTAAAATTGTATTTATTACAGATAAAGAAGCAATGCATGTACATAAAAATTTTTCTTTTTAAAGTTGTGATAAAATAATTGCTATATTATGTAAATTTATTCAAGTGAAATTATTATATGTATATTTATATATTTTACTGTTATAGAAGGGCAGTAATTCTGAAATTTAGCATTCGATCAGTACAGTACAAAGTCCGTAATCCGGACTCGTCGGGACTTCGGCGATTCCGGATGATGGGTTTTTCTAGATTATTGATCATCAATTTAAATCTGGTAAGATAGCATGCAGAAATTATACAATTAAAAAAACTATTAAACTGTAATTTATGAAATAAAAAGCAATTATGATCTAAAGGGTATCAAAATTTACAAAAAAAAAAAAAAAAGCTTAATATTTATTTCTGTACTTTATTAAACATTTCTTTCAATGTAAGTTGTTTGCTTCGTTTTTTGTGCTAAAGGCGCATGCGTAAATGCATTACATGCATGAAGAGAAATTATGTTTATTTGATTACTTTATTAAACATTTCTTTTAATGAATGTTGTTTAAGTTGCTTCATTTTTTGTGCTAAACACGCATGTGTAAATGCACTACATGCATACAAAAAAAAAAAGTTTGTGGCTTTGAGGTCCGGATTATAGATCATTCCGAAAAATGGATGTCCGGATTACGGTCTTTGTACTGTGTTACTTTTAGTTTGAAGTTTATTTTGTATATAATATACCTTTTAAATGTATTCTCATGTAGAAAAAATTTCAGAATAATAAAATTTAATGCATTGAACCCAAAATAAAAAATCTGATGTGGACAGAACATGACTTCCTTGTACATCTTTTTAATTATATTCGTTTTTTACTGTACTTTATTAAAACGTATTTCCTCAAATAATTTCTAACTTAATTAACCAGTCCCTTAAGGTAAGTGAAAACTGACATAAAAAATTGCAAATTTTGAGATTAAATATCCCGGTCAATTTTTGTTGTACTGGAGTCGAATTTCTTGTATTTCATAATGAGTATAAAACAATCCCAGATATAAGTATAGGAACCAGAAAACTGCATTAAAAGTTGGATTTCATTATTTGTCCAAATTTCATTTTTTTTTTAAATTTGAATTTCTCAAAACATTTCTGTAATTGGAAGCATATGTCTACGACCATCCATTATGAAAATAGAGGTAAAGGTAAAGACTTTAAGTCGGGTAAGGGAGTGTATCTATGTTATATACATATATATATTATAAGGTATTTCTCCTGCCTTCATGGTGTAGTGGTTCTTCATGCTGGGCCGAATTCCATAGATCCGTTGTTTGATTTCCGGCAAAGGTGGTTGCTAATTTTTCATCTCTATGGCTTTTCCAATTAGCCTAATGTCTCTACAGTGGCGCCTGAACTAAAAGGGTATTGGATTCTCCTCACCCAGGATTTGTCGATTGTGTCTCCCTAAAAACCCCAGTCACCCTTTAAAAGGGGGAGTATATAAGGTATTTGTCCTGCCTTCCTAGCATGCCTTCGTGGTATGGTTCTGCACACTGGACCGGTATTCCAGATGTCGGGAGTTTGATTCCCGATGAAGGCGGTTGCTAATTTTTCATCTCTCTGCCTTTTCCAATTAGCCTAATGTCTCTACATAATATGTATACTAGAAATCCTGGTGGTCATACAAAATAACTGCTGTTTGAGATATTATAAATTGTAATTAAGATGATTTGTTCAAAGGTGTCTGCTAATTCCCCTTTGCTTACTGTCCCATGCGGTTTCCCCATTCTACTTCCTTAATTGCTTAAAGTAAAGTGCAATGAAGGAAACCACTGGCGGTACATTTCTTAAGAGCCCACCGCTAGCTCAATAAATAAAGGTGATTTAAATAATAAAATGTTAATTCACATGTCAGAGATCTCTTTGTACACAACATTTCTTGTGTAGATCTTTCCATCATCTTTAAGCTCGCCTTGCAGAGGACCATCAATTATTTTTAATTTTACGTCCGTTCTTTCACGAACTCTTGAACAGGCAATGTAAAGTTGTCCGTGTCCAAATGCAGGCTCAGGTAAAAAAATGCCAACACGCTTAAGCGTTTGGCCCTGAGACTTATTGATGGTCATAGCAAAGGCAAGTTTTACAGGAAATTGTCTACGTCTCAATTGAAACGGCAACCCTGTGCCGTGGCAACTTCACCCCATTGGCTAGTACAATTAAGCAAGCAACCAATAAACTATCCGTGACAAACAGACACTTAAGCCACATATAATAAAGGTATTTATTTATTTCATTTTATTTGTTTTTTCGTTGTTGCTGGTTTTTGCCGGTTGCATATTTCCGAATTCTATTATATATATAGATTTTAAATTTATTTATTAAATGTTAAAAGCATGTGCTCTTGTATTTTTAATTTTGTCGTCTTACCTTTCTCATAATATTCGTGACACACTGCACTGCATGAGGAATAAAACAATTTACAGTTACACAAGTAACCAATAAAATATTGGCGAAAAACAGATGCTGAATTTATTTATTAAATGTTAAATACACATGCTCTTGTATTTTTAATTTTTCCGGCTTAGCTTTCTCATAATATTCCTCATGCGCTGTACTGCACGGGGAATAAAACTATTTACAGTTAAGCAAGCAACCAATAAACTATTGGCGACAAATACTCAAGCCGCATATATATAAGATATGTTTGTGTGTGTGTATAATATATATTATATGTACTTTTGGTACTGATGATTGCAATAAAAAAGAGAGGTGCACAACTAGCCAGCAATTCTTTACACAAAATTTCAGCATTCTATGGCTAATCATATTATGCGAGATATGTATAGATATCATGAAAAAATATATTTTGAATCCCTTTTACCATACATTTTGAAATAAAGAGTTTTTTATTCTGTCCATACGTACTGAAGTTATATAATAAAATAGTCAAAGTGGGTTCAGGAACAGTCAAAATTAATATTTCCACTGAAATCTGAAAACTGAAATTTTTCATACAATATTTTTTTTTTTTTACTTCATACAACGAAGTAAAAAGGGAACATTTTAACTACTGCTTTTGAAGTTATTTAATTTTTGACTTTTAATAATAATACTTAATCTGTCCTAAAGTGTGAAGAGACAGAATAATGCAAGTCATATTGCATTTCATTGATTTATTACTCTGTAGTAGCTGAATATTGTTTAAAATATAAATCAAAATCTTTTTACCTAATATCTATAATAAAGTGTAGCTAGAAACATATTTTTGCTTTATTTTTTTGAAAACGTGTCAGCTTCAATTTTTTTTTAATTTTTTATTTATTTAAAATTGCGTATTTATTTTTTCAACTGCATTAAATTAATATACACTGCTCGACACTGAAAATGCAACACCAACAAGAAGTGGTCAGAAAGTGATGAAATTTGGAAAAAAAGACAGACAGCAAGCAGCAATAAGTGATCTTTATTTCAAAATGATAGTCAGAATACAGAGCGAGAACGGCGTCGTCTCAGTAGGATGTAGGACCACCACGAACAGCGATGCACGAAGAAACACGTCTAGGCATAGAGTCAATATGAGTGCAAATGGTGTCCTGAGGGATGGCTCTCCATTCCCTTTCAACCATTTGCCACAGTTTGTCTTCTGAACAAGGCAGGGGAGAGTTTGCAAACGGCATCCAATCACATCCCACACATGTTTGATTGGTGACATATCAGGAGAGTACTGTGGCCAGGGAAGCATCTGTATACTTTGCATAGCATGTTGGCAGATGCGAGCACTGTGTGGTTGGGCGTTATCCTGCTAAAAAATTGCATTAGGCAGCCCCTGAAGGTAGAGGATTGCCACTGGCCACAGTACATTATCCAAGTATCGTTGGGCCCTCATAGTACCCTGAACGAACTAGAGGAGACCTGGAATTGTAGGCAATAGCACCCCAAACCATTATGACACATTGTCACGTGGTGGGGCATTCCACAGTTACTGCAGGATTAAATCTGTCTCCATGTCGACACCACACACGTATGCGGCGACTGTCACTGGATAAACAGAAGCGTTACTCATCTGAGAACATGGCGTTTTGCCATTCTGTCATCCACATCGCTCCAGTCCCGCACCATTCTAAAAGTTGGCATCTATGCTGTGGGGTCAATGGCAGTCTTCTTAATGGATGCCGTGAGTGCAGGCCACATTCAACCAATCGACGGGAAATGATTCTGGTTGACACGAAAACATCTAGGATATCTTGCACATGCTGCAGAATTGCAGTACAAGTGACTTGCGGGACCACCACGGCTTGTCGGCGAATGCACCAATCCACGTATGCTGACGTCACTCTGGCTGCACCTGCACCCCTCCTTCTTCCCACATTTCGTTGTTCCAACCATGTTCGCCATAGCCGATGCACTGCTTGCATTCATAATGGTATCAGCTGCGATTTGATGTAAGGACCAACCCGTCTTTCTCAGTCTGATCACCATACCCCTCATAAAATGTTCTATCTGCTGGAAGTGCCTTCGTTGACGGCGGCCTGGCATTCTCTCGTGTTACACATATCCTTCGGGACAAAAGCCAACTTTCTTCGATAATTCTTCTGGCAGAAATAACAACACGAATATTGCCCATTCTGCAGGTTCCTTCCCTTATATCTTACTTCATGTGCATCGGAGAGCTACGCATTTCACATCATTCGCATAACTCGGTGACGTGCGTCTACTCTAAAATTTGCATAAATTTCTGATCACTCCTTCTTGGTGTTGCATTTTTAATGTTGAGCAGTGTGTTCAAAAGAATTCTCCCCTCTTAAACAAGCGAGCAACTTCATATAATTTAATTTTTGTCATAGTTTTAATAAACTTAGTTTTACATATTAAGCATTTTGGATAGGTATGCTTACAAAATAATAAAATTTATTTCTGTAAGATAGTCAAAAGCAGTGTAGAATTCTATTTACTTAGTTTCAACAATTGAATGTATTGGCTTCGCTGCATGTATGTGAGAAGATCCTACATTTCTGTAGGTATTTGTGAAAAGAAAGGGGCCTTTGTATCAGATGTCCTCACATATGTTGAAAGTATTCTTTTGTGAATATGATTAAATGGCCTAAATCAGGTGTAGGATTCTGTGATTTATCATTGGTTTTAAAAACTGATTCCTAAAATATTTTTAGTTTGGTGAATTAGCTGTTAAAGTTAAAATGCAATATTTTTTCAAGCAGCTTACTTGGTAATTAATTATTATTTATTTGATAACACACCAGTTATTTAACTATTTGAATCCAACTACTAGTTTAAATTTTATATTTTGATATAAATGTGAGTTAATATATTTCTTTTTAAAAGTTAAAGAAGGATGAGTGTAAATTATCTTGATATATTTATTTAATGCTAGGCTATGATGTTCAGAAGAACATTTTATGACTAAGGATGTTATCCATATTCTTCCTGTGGACTAACTTCAATTTTTTCCTCCAGTTTTTTTGCAACATTATTATAGCTCAAGTGTTTGGTGAGATAAATAAGTTTTCAGTCATGTAATTTATTCTTTTTTTGTACTTGTTTTAGAGGGAACAAAAATGCACGTTTTTTTTCTTTGAAATGCATTACACATAAATGAATATTGTTGTATTGTGAATTTTGCTGGAATTGAGCAGAAATTTTTTGCTTCTGAAGAAGAAGACCTGTGTCTGATCATCTTTGAGTCTAATAGGGTTTTATTCAAAATCTTTGTCACGTTGTTGTTGCTTTTTTGTGTAATTTTCAAAGATAAGAATGTTTTAAATGGTTGTCGGGGATACTGAGGCATTGTTGATTGTGTTTCTGTAAAGGAGAAGGCTGCTGATTTAAGTGACATTGGTAAAGGTCAAATTGTGTTAGTCCAAAGGCCATGAATGAATATTTCCAAAATGATATTGCTTTTTGAGTGTGTGTGCAAGCTGTTGTTAGGATCTGTGGAATGTAGAAGGACAGTGAAACCAGTACTACATACCAAGAAGTGGATATCCATGCTTGATCAACAAATGTGAACATTGGAGACTTCCTTTTGGTGAAGCCAGTTTAGAATTCTGAGGGAGAACACACGGGGGGGGGGACCATCTGAGGGTCTCCCACCTTCCTCTACTACCAACCTCCTGAGAGGATTGTAACTCGCCATGTTTTATGAGTGCCATCTTGCCACAGTGACACTATGCATTTATAAACAACCATGCCTTTCCCATGATTTGAACCTGGGCCCTTCCGTATGGCACTAACCACCATCTCATATGGGTGGTAGATGAACACTGTGCAGCTCCAAGTATAAAAATATCTGAGTATGTAATTCATCAAATTCTATTGAATATGGGACCCTGAAGCAGATGCTTTTCTCCTCTGCTTCTATTTGACTAAGATCAGTTAGTATTTAAGACTAGGTGCGGGAACATTGTGTTTAGATAAGGTAGCAGTGGAAAAGATAGCTTAGTCAGACAAATCATGATTTCTTTTATGTCATATCAGCAGCTGTGACAGGATATACTTTTTTGTGGGTGAATATTTTGTTGGCAATTGTACTGTAGGATGTAAAAAGGTAGTAAAAATGTTATGCTTTGAGGGACACTATTTTGGAGCCTCTTGAACTGATGATAATTTTAGAACATACCCACAACAGCTGCAGACTGTGTGAACATCATAGCTGACCAGTTAACCTTTTTGTAGCTTTACCTGAAAGTCATCTTCCTGCAGCACAGGGCTCTTGTCACATAGCTCGATTGCACTACTATGATTTTAGGAACATGCTGATAAATTCCAGTTTATGTCTTGGCCTTCTAACTTATGTTAATCTTGTTGAACACATCTGGGATGTCATGAAGCACCAGCTCACTGACCACCTTCTCACAATTTTTGGAAACTGCATTACCTCTGCTTGAAAGTCTGGAAATATGATCCTCTACATTCTTACTAGGGTCTAATAGAATTCACGTTGTAATAAACTGCAACTGTTTTGTGTGGTATAACATTGTATTAGGAGGATTGTCATACTGTTTTGGCTTATGGTTAAAAAATTTTTCTAACTGCGTGTATGCATTAATTTTATAAGTAGATTATGATTTATAAATTTAGTATTTTGAACAATATGTAAATTTAGTTTTAAATATCAAATGTTTTATGTACTAGCAAATACATACTTTTGTGCAAAGTAAATAAATATTTAAAATTAATTTTAAAATTCTGTAAACTGATTTCTAATAGAAATTATGGTTGTGCTTATTTATTATCTTTGTTGTGTCTGTGTTTATGTTTTTTTCCAGATGGGTAAGTCTTGTCACTTTTCCTAGACTAAGCATTAGTTATCATTGTGGCATTATATTTATAAAAATATTTTTAAAGTCATCTGAAATTTATCCCCCTATCTTTAAGGTAATAAATGTATACTTGTGAAAAAAATTAAATTCTCTAAATAAACAGACTATTGTAAAATTCTACGTTTTAATTTAGGTATGCTTCTGCTAGATTCTACACTTGAGTACATGTTCCCTCCCCCACTTCTTAAGGCATTTAAATAAATATTTACACATTAATATTATGTTTTCCAAGCAAAGCAGCTTTAATCATATATTCATTAGATAAAAAATTTAATGCATTTTTTTCTTTATTCATAAGAGGCTAATTACTTTAAAATACATGTTGAAACTATCATAAAACAAATTATCACTAAATACACAAGTTCCATATGTGTTTTTGATTATCAGGTTTTACATTTTTTTAGGCAAATGATGTAATTTTTCATTATATTCACGGGATTTTTATGTATTTTTGAAATAAAATCTGGATTAAAAATCTTTTTTTATTATTTATTTATGTATATATTTATTTATTGTAGAAAATGAAAATATGACTGCTACTGCTTCCAGAGTGTTACAGTGCTCCTTATGCTCATATGTGACTTGTTCCTCATCTAATTTTAAAAGGCATCAGTTGACTCATTCTCAAGCACGGCCATATGTTTGTGCCATATGTCATCATGCTTTTAACCATAAATGTAACTTGAAAATTCATATGCATGTGCATACTAAGGAAAAACCTTTTAAGTGTAATACTTGCTATCGCTCTTTTAATGCCCTGTCTAATCTTAAAAAACATATGGTAACACATTATATTGATGTCAGTTTTTAAAAATAATGTTTATATGTAAAATAAAAAATAATAGTTGAATTATAATGAATATGTATTATAATATTATTCTTCTTCCCCAATTTTCTTTGTAACTTAAAAGTTTAGATTGTAATTTTATTAACACTTTTTTTGTTCGTTTGTAGAACAGTTTGTATATCAATATCTAATGATATAATTTATTTTTATGGTTTAAGTTCCGAGTTAATTCATTCAAATTTCTCACCAATATTTGGAAATTTTATTATATTGTTAAAATTTTGGTTTCATTCTATAGCACTTTTTTGTACATTAATATTGTCATGAGTTATTAAAGTAACATTTTAGTTTTTTTCTGTTGTATGAAAGTATTTATATTGCTTTATAAAATTTTATTGCATAAGTAAGATCCAAAACTTTTTATTGGGCTCCCAGATGTATGTACATGTGTAGCAGACTCACAGTCATTCTTCATCGCTTAGTATACATGCACTAAAAATCAACCTAATCCATTTACTTTAAGGTGTAGTGCAAAGGCAACTTCCATGAAGTATTTTACAGAGATAGTCTTTCTATGTTAAGCTATTATGAGGTTTGAAATATTTAATGATTAGTGATATGTGAAAACTTCATGCACAGGAACAATGCATTCGTTGTACCTTTAAGTAAATGTTCAACAGAAACTTGAAATAAGTGTACAGTTATAACACTGTTTATTATTATTATCATTCCAAAATCATCAATTAATACTGAGTTCCAAATAGTTCAAAGAAAACAATGAATGTCTCGGACACTTTTTGGTACTGATTGGAGATAAAATTTCATAAGTGCTCTTACTGTATGAGCCAAAAGACAATGAATGATTTAAAAATAGCAATTACTAAAGGATATCCAAGAATAAAGTAATGGATATTGACTCAGGATTTGAACAGGCATGGAATATATCAACACATTAGCAACTTTTATTGGTTTTCAGAATTGAAATGCAAATGATATCATAGTCACTGCTGACAAAAAAAACATTCGTTTGCTTAAAATGTTTAAAATGCTTGTTAAAGTAGAATTGTAATATTTACTAGGTTGTTTTTTGTTACTTAATAGTTAATTTTATTGCTCATAGAGGCAGAAGATAATTTTTAAATTGTTTAATCTCTTTAGTGCTATTGTTTCTCCATTCTCATCTGGCCTTGCTCTACAAAAGATGTGTAAAGTCAAAGGATATGTAATGCTGAGGGAACAAGTATTCTTACCTGTTCCCTGAGCTGGCACATTATTTTAAGAATTTGATTACCTAGTAGGAAAAAAAGTAGAATGCTTATAGTATCAGAGGACATTGCAAATACAGTAAAGTCCGTAATCCGGACTCATTGGGACCTCGGCAATTCCGGATTAGGGGATTTTCCAGATTATAGATCATCAATTTAAATCTGGTGAGATGGCGTGCAGAAATTAGAGAATTAAAAATGTGAAACCGTAATTTATGAAATAAAGAGCAATTATGATCTTAAGGGTATCAAAATTTACAAAAAAAAAAAAAAAAAAAAAAAAGCTTAATATTTATTTGTTTACTTTAGTAAACATTTCTTTCAATGTAAGCTGTTTAAGTTTCTTTGTTTTTTGTGCTAATACTTTCTCTTTAATTCTATAAACAGACATAATTTCTTGTTCAGTTACAAAGTTCCACCAATCCGAAGCGGTATTTTCTGGATCTAGAACCATACTACAGATTTCGCCATCCGTTAATTGATTGATGATTGGGGCATTGTCGTCGCAATGAAAAACTTCTGTTATATCATCTTTGTTTATTACCACTTCTCCACATTTCTTTACAAAATCCAATAACTGGAAAATTTCACCTTTAATGTGCGATGTCCAAAAACCTTCAAATTCACGGCTATCATCTTCATCGTCCTCGCCATGAAATATGGTAGCTGGCCATTAATTATGCCAAGCATTTTTTAACGTACCTGGAGACACATCCTCCCAATTCCCATGCGTAAAGCATACACACACACAAAAAAAGTTTGTGGCTTTGAGGTTCACATTATAGATCATTCCGGATAATGGACGTCCGAATTACGGATTTTGTACTGTAATAGGTTCTTGACAGGAATCTTTGTAAAAGATAGAGCCTCTGAACTTATTTTATTATGCTGTCTCTGTAAATTCTACAGAATATTATGTTTCTACAAGTTTGCTCCCCCCCCCGATTAGTATGAAATATTGCTGCAACCTGTTTTTTTACATATTTTTACAGTTACATATGTTAACAATATCATAATTGCAACAGATTGTATTTTTTTAGTATGGGAAAGGAATATTTTAAATATGTTGTTTAAAAATTTATTTATGTAATGTGTTTTATTTGTTATGTTTTAAACGTTTTTCTGAGCTTTAAGTTGCATGTGTTATGAATTGAATATATATTTGCTATGAAATTGCTTTCTTTTTACCCTTTAAATTTTGCATTCTGCAATAATATAAATAACTATTTAAGTGCATTATTATTATGTATATTATAAGGTATGCTTTATTATAATACTATCTCTGTATAATTATTTAATATGCATATTATTATAATGCACACTTATATATACACTGGTGTGCAAAAATTAAGGACGAGATGTTTTTTTCATTATAACTTTGTACAAAAGCTTTCCAAATCAACACATTTAATACCGTAAGATCCCCAATACGTAAGGACATGAGTAATGTAAGCAACACTTACTAAAAGAGAAATCAGAGGGATAAAAAGAAGCTTTATTGAAAAAGTAGCATGGAGCGCAATGCGACTGAAGGCCGAAACATCCCTGTGATGGGTGTCCAGCAAGAAACATCCGGTCTTTAATAGGGTATATGATCTCCCCTGACTGCTAGGCAGGTTTCACAGCGTCTGCCCATGCTGAGAATGAGGGTGTCATTGAGTTGTTGAGGCATTGCTGCCCATTCGTCTTGCAGCGCCAATCGAAGCTCCGGAATCGTTACTGGTGGTAAGGTACAAGCTGCCAAGCGTCTGCCTAGAAAATCCCATACATGCTCGATGGGATTGAGATCCAGAGATCGTGACGGCCAATCCATACATTCAATATCCTCACTCTCTAAGAGCTGTTCGGCAGCTACTGTGCGATGACATGGTGCATTGTCGTCCATGAAAAGGAACTGCGGACCCATAGCGCCTCTAAAAAGACGCACATATGGAAGAAGAATCTCGTTACAATAACGGGTCCCGTTGACTGACCACCACCATGCAGTCTTCTGGCCACGGTAAAACTCGATATCGGTCGTCCAGTTGCCTATGTCGTGTGTCTAGCGATTTCTTCCGCTGTCTGCCGCCTGTTTCTTCTGGCCTGTAAGGCAATATACCGGTCATCTGCGGGTGTGGTTCCTCGTGGACGACCACTACTAAACCCCCAGATAGCTGTTCCTGTAGTTTGAAATTGTCTCCAAAGTCGTAAAACGATGCTGAGAGCATTTCCGAACTCTGCAGCCACACTTGTCACACTGCGACCTTCCTCCAACTTCCCAATGATTCGACCTCGGGTAAAAGCATCCAGATGTTGTCTAACAGATTGATTATTCTCCATTTCTCGCTGAGGCAGCAACTCAATGTGATTTTAACTGCTATACGGCGTGCAATCTCTTTGCCAGAAATACTGATCTTACACCGACAACATGCTTTATACTAGTCAGACACTCCCCCATTACGTCTACCTGCATATCTGTGCATGTGCTACCGTACATCACCTTACTTAATCTCCTGATTGGTCTTTCTGTCCGCTCTGCCTCTTCGTTCAGCTGATATGCTAATTTTCCGACTTCGTCCTTAATTTTTGCTCACTAGTGTATATATAACAGTTAAGGAAAAGTATTGATACTTTAATGTGGATAAGTTGCACGTTAACTCTTGTGCAAAATTATAAGCAACTAAATGCATCTATTTGAGTGTTATAGATATTTTGAAAAAAGTTAATCATTTCAAGATTGACAGTGACTGTAGGAGAAATATTTAAATTATTATAAAGTAGTGTAAAGATTTCCATAATGATGATTCATAATTTAATGTAGAATTTTAATATCCTAAAAACTTCTAGGAATTCTGCTAAAAAAATATATGATTCAGTTATTTAATCTTCTGAATATAAGAAAGAATAACATATTTTAAGAAAATTATTATTTTGAATTTAATATTTCTTCAAATGGCAGATACGAGTTCTGATTATAAGAAATGTATACCAAAAATATATCTTAATAAAAAAACGTTTATCTGTCTAAATATAAGAAAGAATAATATATTTTAAGAAAAGTATTATTTTGAATTTATTACTTCTTCAAATGGCTGACAACCGTTCTTCTTCAACCATTAAGAAATGTATACCAATTATATATCTTAATGAGAAACATTTATGAGTAAAGGTTAGATATTTATCTCTATTAGAAACATATAACCATAAAGATTGACTGATAAAGATTTTTGTTAAAATAATTTAGAAAGTAATATATTTGAACAGTATTGTGTAATTTAGAATTATCTTTATGGAAAGAAATCTGTAGCTGAGGAAATTTAATATTGTAAAAGAAAGTAATTTTTCCACTGTCAAAAATTTTGCAAGCGAGTATCATATTTTTAATAGAATGTATTTTCTGTGTTTTCTTAATTTGTTAGTGATTAATTAAGTAGTAAAGTATTGGAAATGGATTAAAATCATGAAAAGGTAGTATCGCTTTAGAATTCAATCAAGAAAGGAAAGGTAGACCGTTTTTACGAGATTTATTTAAATCTATTAAAAATAAAAGATATTTTTTTCATATGGTAGTGGAGAAATTGTATTTTGTACTGTGTAGTATGATGTTTTTAGTCACTTTTGATAACATGCTTTTGCACATTTTTGT